TTCCCAAATATTTAATCGAGAATTGGCCATGTGCACAACCAAAGAGGTCAGCATAGTCGGCAGCTACCTCAACGGCTTCTCCAAAGCAGAAAAGCTCACTTTTATGGAAGTTAATTTTGAGACCCGACATTTTCTCAAACGCTGAAAGCAAGAGTTTTAGGTTTTGAGCCTTGTATAAGTCATGTTCCATAAAAAGGATTGTGTCATTGGCATATTGCAAAATAGAGAGGCCACCATCCACAAGATGTGGCACTACTCCTTCTATCTGGCCGTCCTGCTTGGCGTGCTCAATCAGAATAGCAAACATATCAGCAACAATGTTAAATAAATAACATTGGGGACATGGAATCACCCTGTCATAGTTGTATGAAAGTAATGGCCTACATCATCATTGACTTTGATGGCCACACTACCTCCAATTACAAAATTTTGGATCCACTGACGCCATTTATCAGAGAAAACTTTCGTTCTTAGGGCTTGTTGGAGGAAAGACCATTTGACCTTGTCATAGGCTTTTTCAAAGTCAATTTTGAATACTACTCCACTCATGTTTTTCTGGTGCATCTCGTGAACGGTCTCATGCAAAATTACTACGCCATCGAGTATATTCCTTCCTTGCATGACCGCTTTTTGAGATGGCCAAACAACATGGTCAGCTACCGAGTTTAACCTATTTGTAGCCACTTTAGTGAAAATCTTGAAGCTAACATTAAAGAGGCATATGGGTCTGAACTGTTGGATCCGTTCGACCTCCTTAATCTTCGGCAACAAGACAATCTCGCCAAAATTAAGTCTAAATAGGTCTAGTCGGTCGGCATGAAGACAATTAAACAAATCCAAAAGGTCAGTCTTGATGATATCCCAGAAATTTTGATAGAATTATGTGGGGAAACCATCTGGGCCTGGAGCTTTGTTATGTTCCATTTAGAACGCCACCGCTCTCACCTCCCCTTCTAAGAATGGTGCCGTTAGGATGTCATTTTCCTCCGCCGTGACTTGTGGAATATCATCCATTCGGGTCTCGTCAAGGGTAAAGTTCCCTTCAACTACGTGCTATACTTGAGGGCAGAGACACCCTCAAGCTCGGACTGATAAAACACATCGGTACTAGGGAGAAAACAAGAGTATGGGATGATAATCGGCTGCCTAGAGACTTCAATCTTAGGCTAATTTTGGCAAAAACAAACCCTCTAGAGATGGTGAGTTATTTAATCCAAAGTATGACAAGAACATGGGTTACATCTATTTTGGATGATAACTTTATTGATATGGACAAAGAGATCATAAGAAAAAAATCATATTAGCTCAAGGAGGCAAGATGAATTTTGAACATGGCATTATGAGAAACCCGGTAATTTCTCGGTTTGGTCGGCATACTGGATGCTTGTGGGCATTAAGAAACAGAGAGAAGATTGGCTTGAGCATTGACCAAGCAACTCAAACACAAGCAAGATCAAAAAAATCATGGGTACAGCTGTTGCATGTCCGTATTCCTACCAAGGTGTGGATGTTCATATGGAGGCTAGCAAAGGTGTCTATCCCTACAGGAGAGGTCCATGTTCATAGGAATATGGCCACTGATAGTATCCACCCAATTTGTAATGCAGCCTTGGACACATGGCGACATGCACTGCTTGAATGCAGCATGTTGAGGGTTGTGTGGGTATTAGCTGACGAAGAGATGTTGGAACATGTTATCATGAACCGAACAGATGATGCCGGGCTTTGGATTTTCTGGCTGTTTGACACGATGAAACAGTATGAGTTAGCAATGGTGCTAGTTACTCGATGGGCTATATGGTGGGAGGGGCGTCAGGAAATACATGATGGGGAGTTTCAGAATCCTATATCCACACACAAGTTCATCACAAAGTATGTAGAAGAGATTGATGTTTCGGTGAAACTAAAGAGAGAAGTGCGCCCTATAGGAGAACCATCGAGGCGGAGTAGGAATGGATTCTATCAGAGACTGGATGGTGTAAAATAATTGTGGATGGAGGGCTTTCATGAGATGGCCGAAGAGGAGCAGCAGCAGCTGTTTGCCACGATGAGTTTGGACATTATTTGGGTGCTTCTGTAGTCGTTTTGGCAGGTCAGACAGATCCATCATGTTTGGAAGCTATGGCATGCAATGAAGGCTTTGCACTTGCCCAAGATCTGTAGATTATGTCGGTGAAGCTTGCTTCTGATTGCCTAGAAGTGGTGACTAATTTACAGACAAAAGGCAAACTGCACCTATTCAATAATGATCTTGAGAAAAGTGGAGGAGAGAACTGAACTCTTTGATCGAGTGAACGTGGTTGACCGTCAGGCTATAGACCCTTCGCCAGGTCCTTAGGCTCTCACCACCATCTGGACGATCTGGCTCCCCTTAAAGATTAGGATCTTCTTATGGCAATGGATTCGTGGCCGCCTTCCGACCGGCGTAGAGGTCCTGAAATGCAACGGCCCTGGTGATGGGCGATGCCCGTTCTGCGGGCATGAAGAGGATATGAACCATATCTTCTTCACATGCGTGTCCGCGCAGTTCCTCTGGAGTTGTTTCCACGATTTAGTGGGTGGAAGCTGGGACCACAACAACTTCCCCGCTCTCTTTGCCAAACTTCAGGCGTTACCACCCGCGTATCGCCACATTAGGTGGTTGACCGTCGGTGTGCTAGTCTAGACGCTGTGGACTACTAGGAATAAGCTTGTGATTCAGCGTGTCCCTCTTCGTCGTGCTACTGACGCTTTGTTCAAAGGGTCTGGTTACCTGCAGCTTTGGCGGCCGCTTAGCCGCCCCAGGGAGAGAGACGCCATCACCTCCATCATCACCCAGCTTCGTGTGATGGCTCTCCGGATGGCTCCACCGCTTCCCCCACCACCACCAGAGCCAGACTAGATTTTCTCCTATTCGCCGCCACCGTCGTTTATGTGTTGTGCGTGCTTCATTTTTGTGTTGGGCTTGTTATGCAGTGCCCACAGCTGAACCTCATGTAGTGTTTGGGTGTGTGTCGGTTGGATCTTGCCTGTGGTGGCATTGTGTGTGTTTGTTGTTCGGATGGTATCATGTTGATTTTGTGCTTGGTGGTTTGCTTTATTTATAAAATGGAACGAAAGCCTTTTTCGGTAACGTGGTTCCTGAGAGAAGAGAGTACTGCAGAAGCTCATATAGCTTGCCAAAGCCAAACCCTATTCGGCGCCCTCTGCGCCCCTTAAAGTGCAATTCACAAACGGGCGCATACCCCCCCCCTCTCCGCTGGGCCGGCCCATGTAGTTTTTTCTCTATTTTACCAAACCGCAAAAGAGTCTGCAAGTGCTGTGACTCGAACATGCGACGTCCTGTTTAATTACACACTGCACTAACAACCCCCCCATTCCAACTGGACATGGAAACTTCCATCTATTTATGTCTTTATATCTTCCTTTCTTTTTTCTATTTTCGTTTTTCGTTTGTCTTTTTTTTCCTAGGTTCAATGAACTATTTTGAAATTCATGAACTTTTCCTTCAAAATCGATGAACTTTTATCAAATTCGATGAACTTTTTTGAAATATGATGAACTTTCTTCCAAATTCGATGAACTATTTTTGAAATTCGTTGAACTTTTTTTAAAATTCAATGATCTTTTTTCCAGTATTGGTGAACTTTTTCAAAATCGATGAAAAACTCAATGAACTTTTTCAAATTTGGTGAACTTTTTTCTCAAAATTGATTAACTTTTTTCACATTTGTGATTTTTTTAGTCCGATCAACTTTTCTGGAAAACGGTGAACTTTTTTCAAATTTGTGAACTGTTTTATTTCAAATCGATGAACTTTTTAAAATTTGTGAACTGTTTTTTTCAAATCGATGAACTTTTCAAAACTGATGAACATTTTCTAATTTTTGTACGAACCTTTTAGAATATATGAAATTTGTTCAAGTTCACGTCTTTTTATTGTGAATTCTCCTTTTCACTTTTTATTAGTATAAAATAATACGTATAATAGACTGGAATTGTCTTACATATTTAATATTGTTGTAACAACAGGGTCAAATATTGTCTTGTCCTTCGAATAGACAAAGAAATGTGGTGGCGCAGTGGTTATTTTCTCTTGTGAGGATGTTGGAGGGCACGGATCGAATCCTGCTTCTACAGAAATCCCTCGCTTTTTTAGCTGCACGGCTATAAGCTTTTTAGCCTCGTCGCGTTTACTGGGCCGGCCCGCTACCGTGGTGTGCGGGCGCCAGTAGCGCTAACCGGCGCAGAGGGCGCCGAAGAGGACCTCTCCTTGCCAAAGGCGGCTTCATCTCTCGGTGTATTTTACCTGTGGATGTTTTTGATTGAATAAAGAACATATGCCACTCAAAAAAAAAAAACTGCACGTAGAAGACAAATTATACGCTGGCTCGGCCGCTGTTGGAAATAATCACGATTCGGTGTCCCTGTCCCGTACGGACCGGTAGCCTTAGCCGAATCAGCTCTGTACTAGATAGATCAGGCACTATATATATCTGTACTAGCTCCACCTATAATAAACCAGATACGAAGGCTCGAGTTGTCGACACGAGCGGTTCTGGTCGTGCGTAGGTATACGCATCAAGCCGCGGCTCTACGCTTGTGAACTAGCACCCTAAGTGTGACTTTGGCGGAAGCATCTGCTTGCGAGCTTCGGAAGGCTAGCTTCTACATACTGATTTGTTGTGTGCTCGAGCGTCTTCTGATCGGAAAGCAATCAATCCGAGTGCACCACCGACCTCGTCGGGAAGTACGTGACAAATCGGCGGCTTTCGCCAAACGTCCTTCTGCTGGTCACGAGATGAAGACGTGTAAGACGGTGTCTACATGCACCCCAATGGAGGAGGCTCAAGGTACGCATGTGTTTGATATCTTGGGTTATAGCAAGCACAAGGGCATGGGCCATGGCGTGGACGGCCGCATACGCTCAGGGGTTTTCTCCGTCGGCGGCCACGACTGGGTGATCTTCTTCTTCCCCGACGGGTAGAGGACATGGTCTAGATTACATATCGGTTTTCCTCATGCTTTCGAGCAACAACGCTAAGGTTCGGGCGTCCTGCGACATGAGGCTGGTGGACCGGTACACCGGATTCTCATCTTCGGTGCATAAAACAGGACCTAGGATTTTCAATTCTGGTGATATTAGTAAGTTTGCTCCACAGTCTAATTGTTTCATAAGGCACAGTGAGATCGAGGGATCCGCGTACCTTAGGGATGATTGCCTGACGATCGAATGCGTCGTCACTGTTTTCAACAAGCCACATGTTACCCAAACAAAACCATTCCCTAAAATCGACATGCCACCAGCTGACATGGCTGAGCATGTTAGCAAGTTGCTTGAAGAAAAGCAGGGATTTGATGTCAGCTTCATCGTCGAAGGAGAGACCATTGAAGCGCATAGGTTTGTTCTCGCTATGCGCTCGCCTGTTTTCAAAGCAGAGCTCTATGGGTCGATGCAGGAGGCGAGGCCGGGGCAATGCATAACCATCATGGACATGCAACCTGATGTTTTCAAGGCCCTACTCCATTTCATCTATACGGACTGTTTGCCTAGCGGTGAGGATACCGAGATGGTCCGGCTTTTACTAGTGGCTGCGGACAGATATGCAATGGACAGGCTCAAGCTGGTTTGCCAAAGCATCTTGTGCGAGGATCTGAACAAGGACACCGTGGCAATCACATTGGCTTTAGCTGACCAACATAATTGCCACCGGCTTAAGAATGCTTGCCTTGAATTTATCGAATTATCAAATTTCACGGATGCTCTGGTGGCTACACGACGGTTAAAGGATATCAAGAAGACTTGCCCATCTTTCATAGTGGACGAATTGGAGAAGAGAACAAAGCGTCGTAAAGCATGAGCAGCTACAAAAGGTAGATCTGCTAAATTCCTCATACCAATTCGTCGAAGGAATGATCAGGCCATTGTTAGATGAATCTAAGAGTTGTTACGTAAATCCTGAAGTGATGTGGATGCCGACATGTTGCGAAACTATATATACCGCACTCTTATCTTCTCGTAAGAAGAAATGGTTTTTATACAAGTTGATATATATGTAAGAATATTTATGTAAAAGAGAGAGGATATGGGTGGAAAATATTCATAAATTCGTTATTATTGACCGATTGACATAAAAGGGCGTTAATAAATTCCTGTGAATTTATCAAACCTGCACCACTGCACATTTAAAGTTTGACGACGAGCAAGCTCAATCGATTATTTTTCACGTCCATAATACGAGTAAACTGACTAGCACAAGGACTACATGTGCTGTCGCCACTAGTGATGACCAAACTCTAATTAAAGGGCGTATGTCGCCCATGCTTCCTGCTAAAAAAAATACTCCCTCCATTCTTAAAGATTTCAAATGGAGTACCACATACGGATGTATATAGATATATTTTAGAGTTTAGATTCACTCATTTTGCTCCGTATGTAGTCACTTATTGAAATCTCTAAAAAAACAAATATTTAGGAACGGATGGAGTATATGAAAGTGTGCAAACGATTGGCTTGTTTGTATGGTTTAGGGACAAATCATTCATATCATTTTGAAGTGCAATCGGTATGGAAGTAAACAATATTGTTTTTTTTTACGGTGACCATGCCTCCGTGAACCATTTCATCCCGAAGGCTATGAAAACAGCTTAGTTTGAACAATTACAATTGCAAAGGTGGAGGAAGCGAATTAAATTCTCGCAGATGGATGAAACAACATAGCACTCCAGTCGCGGAGAAGGGCCTTATTCTCAATGTTGGTCAACAGTTAGACCATAGGATTAGATCAACCCGTCCAAAACTGAACCTTCTATTTCTCTCCAACTTCGTAACACTTGTTGTTAATCTTTTGCCAAAAAAATTTCCCTGTGTGTAACCTTTGTTGAACATTTGAGTAACCAACTATAGCACTGAGATTAAAAGGTTTATGGGTTTTGACTCTTTTTGAATAAACTATGTATAACGAACTCTATCTTCTCGTTAGAAAAACGGGTTTCTATACAATTTGACATGTAAGAATATTTATGTCAAACAATAATAGCATATGTTCTGGGTGGAAAATCATAAATTAGTTATCACTAGCTGATTGACATAAAAGATGTAATACATTCCTGCGAGTTTGTCAAACTTGCACCACTGCACATTTTAAAGTTTGATTGAGCCAAAGAAGTCTTTACAAAAATAACCTACACTAACGAACCTGACTCATAGCAAAACAAAACAAAAAATCTATAGGAGCCAACGACCGTCACCACGCCAAGCGTCGAGACCACAACTTTGCGTTTCTCAGATATAAGGTGCAATACTTGTGCGGCCATTAGCATGATCCAGACCACATCTTTGTGTCTTTTTGTTTTTGGTTGGTCTTCCGCTATTGTCATGATTTGGTTAGTTTTTTCTTCCCTGTATCAATACATTCGGTTTAATTATATGGCCTTTAAGTTTCGATTGTGAACGATTTCTGGAAGTCTTACTGATTTATCATGATTGATAATCTGATATTTGTGTTGCTTAGTTTTTTTCTTGTATCCCCTCTTTGGACTACTCACATGGCTTTCAACTTTTTCTATGCGAATGATTACAGGAAGTTATATCGGTTTAGCATGATTGGTCATTGATCTTTGTTGAGATTACGTTATATGTCTTGTGTAATCTGTTAACTGTTTGCTCCTTCCTGCGGCAGCATAAACCTACAAGTATATCCTAAACCTTTCCTCAAATGGGTTTCACCGAAAATTATCGAGGCCAATTCTGATCAAAGAAAATTCTGTAGAAAGTAACTGAAGACTTGATTGTGAAACACAGTTTAAACTCCAGATTACAGGTTTATCACTCTCTGGTGCAACTTGCAGGTTTGATATCTCTGAATTCCAAATGCGTTTCCATTACTGGAGATCAATGGTACGATAAATAATCCCTGATATTATAACATTAGGGCATATCTGATTAAGAATCCATGATCTGGTAACATAGAGTATTTTCAACAGAGTACTGTTTTCCAAATAGTTGTCAGTCTTCCCGTTCACGGTAAACCTTTTATTGGTCATTGAGTTTTTGGAGCAGGACATCATGATGACAAAAGGAAGAAATGCAGTGTCATTTATTTTTATTTGGAACGCTGCAGCTTGGTAGAAAATGGAATAGTTTCATTGTTTGTAGTTGCTCACTGGACTATTGATCTTGAGTCGCTCACTGGACTATTGATCTTGTATAGTTGCTCTTTGTGTGAGCTTGTTTGGTTCAGCTACGCATGAGAGACGGTAATACTTCACCTGGGTATGATTAAATATTTACTATTGTTTCCTTGCGTCTTTATCAAAAAACAAAAAATCTTGAACGTAGTGTTATTTTTGTCTGCTGACTGGTAGAGTGATATTGAACTTCATTTGTTTGATTAAATAGTGCATCTAATTTTATTTTGAGGGAATGTTGAAGGCTTGCAGAAACTTTGGAAAATTAACCAGCTTCATTTGGGCCATTGGCTGGGCTATCCGAATTCCGAAGTGCATTAGGCCCATGAACTCACTGGTTTCTTCTTGGCAATGGCTCTTTGCAATGTTCAGCAGTCTTCTTCACGGGCAGCAAGGCCAGTCTCCAGCTACGCCGGTGAGCCTCGAGGGGAGCAACAGTACCGGGCTGGGCTGGAAGCGCTGGACGCGGGGCTGCTGGCGGCGGAGAGGATTCTCAACCGACCTCAAAGCTCCGTTCTCTCCTTCCTCATCTCACATGGCTGAGCTCTAGGAGAATTCTTCTGAACTCTGGGAGCAGGCAGCGTAACTGCTGAGCCTTTCTCTGCTTTGCTCTGTTTTCACAATGTGATGTGGCCAAAATGATTCCTCTGTGATGTGGCCAAATGTGGCAATGCATACATGCTTGAGTAGATCCATGAAACTATATACTACTCCCTGTAGTGTCAAAAAACGTCTTACATTATGGGACGGAGGGAGTACTTGCACTCCGTCGTTGTGGAGTCCGATTCGTCCGTTCGTTAACCTTTGATTCTTTTCTGGTGCCACTTTGAGTTTTGCCTCAAGTGTTTGACTGATTTACTTTCAGTTTAACCAAAATGGTCGACCACTCAGAGTTTCGTTTCCACTGATCAGTTTAAGCTTACAAGTGGCGAACACTGTAAATTCTAGCAGTAGTATATGCGTGTGCTTGTTCAGCCCTTGTCATCAGTTTAAGCTGTTTTCTGACGCTTTTGTTTTGCCTCGTGTTTGACTCACTCACTTTCAATTCAACCAAGCGAGTATTCAGAGCTTCCTTGCTATATTGAGGCCCTGTTCGGAGACCCGCCACTCCAAAACTTCGCTCCCGGAGCTGGAGTCAAAAGGCACGGAGCTGGGAAAGAGATGCTCCAGCTCCTTGTATTTTTAGGAGTTGGAGTGACTCCAAATAGGGCCTAAGTGTCCACTTTAAGCTGATGGCATATACATGACGGTTCCGGCTGATTTTAGGTGACCCAGATGATTGTCACTAGGCATGTTCATATTCAGTGACAATTTGAGTGTCACCGAAAAAGTTGGGTGGGTCATTTTTGAAAACATGAATAGAAAAATAACAATTTGTTTTTGCATCTGACTTATTTGGTGGCATGTCCTTTGTTAATAAAGGGAAATTTCTTGGAAATGGGGTTGTTCGGTTCCCTCCTAACAAAGGAATTTGGAACGAGGACTTAGGGTTGTGCTCGAGTATGACGTCCCTGGTGAGGCGAGAGGGCGGCACGGCAAGGTGACGTGGCTAGGGGTGTACAGCAAGGCGACTCACGCCTGGTGCATAGTGAATCAAGGGTGATTTTAGGTGAGATCTGTTTACTAAGAGACAATGTAGCGAAATTGATTAGGTTTCTTGGATTATGTGATGTGAATTATTATGCAGTTTAATGTTTTGTACGAAATATGGATCAAAAATGGATAAATGATGAACCCAAGATGACCCTAACATACAAAAAAGGTGTGAAGGATGTAGGACCCAATTATATCGACCAGAGGGGTGGTGAATGAGAGATTTAAAATTTCTTCCGAAACTTAAATACCCTCAGCGCAGCATACCGAAAATGAAACAAAACACATGCAGTTCTATGAAAAGAGAATCTACTACAGAAAAGAAACATGACAGTGCTGAAAGATAAACTCTCGAAAGATAACTACTAGAATTCAGATGGAAAACTCGAGAGAGAGAAACACTACTGAAAGTAAACTACCGAAACAAAACATGGTTGCATAGCAGATAGAGATGCACGAAAGATATGAGCACACAGATCACGGAAAGATATCTCACGACAGATAATATAGCTGAAAAATAAACTATTAAAAGTAATGCAGTCAGATAGAAATGACAAGTCGTGCATGAAGGCGACAGATGCTTTGATAGACTAATTCACTCTTCTTCAAAAGAGCTACGTCTGGTTGGAAGGACTTATGATTGAACAAGGGAGCAAACCTCCCTCCATCCTATTGTCCTCAATGTGAAGTTTCTCGAACTTCAGTTGATTTTACTCGTGGTAGATTCTTTTCGGCAATCTCCAAACCTTGGAAAGAATTTGCATCGCGTACCACAATGACTCTAGGTTGCTGAAGACTTTGTCTTCGGTGACCACAATTACTCTTAGTTACTCAGACAGACGCCTAACCATCTAGAGAGTTAGCAGCTCTCAAGAGTAATAGGCTCAAAGCTCTCGACTTAGATCTCTGTGATGCTCAACCACTATTAAGTTAGCTCTGGGGTTTTCTTTTGGTGGATTACTCAAATCTTTCAGAGAGGGGTGCTCAATCAATCTTATCGGAAAATTAAGCGGAGCAGCTGACAACAATGGTAGGCATGGGATGGATATTTATAGTCGGAGTAACCTAGAGGGTGAAA